ATCTCCCTGGCCCCTGATTAAATATAATTTATATAACAACTAATATGAAAAACTAGACATATGTTTTAAAATATCTTTGAAGTTTCTATGTACAGATAGCATTATATTCTATAATCTAAAGATGTTATAGATAGGTATGTTATAGACTTACATGTATAAATTTGATTTCTAGATTCAAATTATCAATAAAGTAATTACCTAGCTCTTATTTCTCCTTTTTTGCCACGTTTAAATTCAGAATAAATGGGCTTCACACTTAAACTTGAACATGAGTTTGAGATTAAATAAAAATCCTTGAATAATAGCAGTTCTACAGATACTAGTAAGGCTGTTTTAAAATTTTTTATTAGTCACACATTCATCTGCAGTTTTTGTGAAAACTAAAAGATACAAAATATCATAGTTGGCAGAAATAATACAGGATTGTTTTCCCTGGTGATCTTTTTGTATGTTTACAGCTTTCAAGTTCTGACAGTGAATTTAGCACTAACATTTTAAAATTATTTTTGTTTCAGAATTGTGGAACTGAAGGACATGGTTTCTGATGTCAATCTCAGTTTTAATAAGCTTTCCTGTGTGTCCTTGGAATTATGCATGCTTCAAAAATTGACTTTTTTAGATCTCAGGTAATTATTGTTAGTGCTGGTTGGCTTTTTAAAAATTATTTCTTGTCTTTAGTCTTATCTGACTTCCCTTTTTGTCATATTTTTATAGGTAGTGTGGACATTGGCCTTTCACTAATTTATAGTATCTGAGGGGGAATCTCAAGTAGATAGGAGTTATTTTATAAGACATTCATCACTTGTGAGGATTTTATGTTAAGTGATAAGACAGTTATTTACAGTATGAACATACTCTTTAAATTCGGTCCAAGACAAAATGAGGACACGTGAGAAATCCCGCCTTCGTGTTGCTTGTTTCTGAGGGGCAGTGGTGTAGCTCTGGCCGGGCAGCTTTCGCGGCTTCCCTCATGGGACTCTTCTTGGGGTCTAAGTGTTACATTGTTACACAGTGCAGCTATCACACAGAGCACTGTGACGGCCAGGAAGAAATCTGTAAAACTAATAGAAAGGTCAAAAGGTCTCGTTAGAGGTGATGGGATCAGAAGTTGACAGTTCTTAGGGGCACGTGTATCTCATGTTAGGTGGTCATTTATGAGCTTGGGACTTACAAGTGTATTTGTACACTGTCTCTGTTGCCTGGGCTAATTAGCTGACCAAAATTTAGTTTCCTGTGTGATAGCAGTTAAGTGTAAGATTCCAGAAACTAAAGACTGGCAATCAGCTTTGTGTTAATTCCGTATAACGTGGACAATAATTGTAGAAAAGTACAGAGAAGGTAAGGAAGAACAGCGGTTGCACTGCAGAGACTATGACCTGTCTATTAGGCTTACCTGATGCCCAGAGAAACAGGTTAGAGAGAGTTACTCAGTGGTAAAAGATGACCTAGGTGCAAATAATTTTATCACACAGATTTCCTTTTATGATTAGTTACACTGCCTCTACTATTCTGCCTTTGTGTTAACCATCTTCAAACACTGTTCCTGATCCTTTCAACATCAAATAAGATTCTCTGTATTCCTATTTCATTGTAAGATCTTAAAAAATATTCATTGTGCAAATTGAAGTTCCAGACTAAGAATAGAAACGACATGCTTAATACCTGTTGAGTAGAAAGAACCAGGCTTACAACCATATAGAATCCTGTAACTTCATGTTTCATCCAGTTCTTCTTGGAATAGTATTTCATCTCTGTGCAAGGTGTATTAACACCAAGAGGATATTTATTTCATATGGTATTACATGATCTGAAGGGGCCAGACTATAAAGATTATTGAGCTCAGTTTGAAGGCCTTAATAATTAATTTACAGTGCTTACCCTGTTGTATCTGTTACCCAAGAGTTGACTTCATCATAAGGTGTCTGTATATTGTTGCAATTTGGCACTAACCAAATACTTAAGTCAGCCAGTGGATTCAAATCTCAGAACTAGCCTTAATGGGATCATATTACCTACTCACAAACTCATCTGTGTATTTTTTCTTTTCTAATTTTTAATTACATATAAACTTGTAAAAGTTTTCAAACATTGTGAATCATTTTTTATTTCTAATTTAGGAACAATTTTTTAAATTCTTTGCCTGAAGAAATGAAGTCATTGATAAAGCTACAAACCATCAATCTTTCCTTTAATAGGTAAGAGACTGAACAGGAGCAATCATTGCAGTCATTCCACAGAGAATACATATTTCTTAGTGAGAAACAACTAAAAGAGCCAAATAAAAGACCCTTACTTTTGCTCATTTCAGTCTTTGTTTTCCTTTAGTCTGCTAAATACCATTGAACGTGCTGCCACTTGCTTAGCATTCTGACCACTGGTGTCTGGCAGGAGTTTTGTTTCCTTTTCACCTTTCAGAGAACCCTGTCACCTAGTGGAAAGAAAATACGTACCACGCAATAATGTGCATCGCTTTAATGGAAGCAAGTGCACAGACCAAGGTGTCATCTGACGTTACCTGCAGGTGGAGAAACTGAGGCTTGAGAAGTAGGCGTTTGCCAAGCATGCCTGAGAGATGTCTGGTCAGCGTGCCCTGGGGGAGTAGAGCGCATCCGGGAGACTTCAGAAGCTTCTGCGTGGCTGTGAATGGGGGCCTGAGGGACAGGCGCAGAGGGAGCAGTGTGGTTGGGGGCGAGCTGTTGCCAAGCACAGCTTAGATGCTTTTCTACAAACACTATCGAGATAACTGTAGAGAATCTAAGAACAGTTGATACCCCCCAGGAGCTTATTATCCACATGCTGTACTGAGTACTTTATGTGTCCAGCTCATCTTCTGTGACATTCTGTCATTATGCCTGGTTACAAAGTCAAAGACTAGATGTTAGGTGACTTATGTGAGGCGCACGTAGGTAGCAAGGCCTGTGGAGTCCGAGTTGCAGTTCAGGTGGCCCACCTCCAAAAGCTGGGCTCTAACTGTCAAGTTGTTTGCTATGATGAAAATTGATTCTGCTAGCAATTTAATGAAAATATTAGTAGCTGGCATTTACTATAACCCTCATAAGGTCTTCAAATACACTTATTCAATCCTTACAAACTGGTTTGCACATTCAGTAGTAATTACTTAGGGCTGGCCAAATAGCTCAGTGGACTAAAAGTGCCTGCTTAGGCAGATGCCAGGGCCAGAAGTTTGATCCCCAGGCCTGCCCTGCCAGCTCCACCCCTGGGGCATGCTGAGAGTGGGCTTGGTGGCGTGCGCCTGTAATCACATCACTTGGGAGGCTATAAACAGGAGGATCACTATGAGTCCGATCTATGCAGTGAGACCCCACCCTGTCCTTAAAAAGAGAAAGTAGTAGTTACCGTCCTCATGCATGATGATGTTAAATACACCTTATTTAATCTCTGTGTCGTCTGCTGCATGATTTGTGCTTTTTCATGGTTAGAGTGTGCCGTTATTGTCGTTATTTAAGACAGTATTGACTCATAGATCTCTTCTAACTTGCACTAGTAAATCAAGTGATTGGGTTTCCGTGGAGTTGTCCGTCAAGCAGCCACTCTGTAAGCAGTGCTTTTGGGAGGATGGCAGAAATTTGCCCTGGCTGCTGTGCAGACAAAGAGAATTATCTTCCACGATCACTGTGCTCAGAGCTGGAGGAGAGGGAAGAGGCCCCTAGGGCCAGTCTATGCATCTGTAATTTAGATTATCAACTTCTTAGCAGCACCCTGGGGACCCTCCAGAGCATCTCGGGTCTCCCCTCATAGTTGTTTGTTTTTGTCTTAATGTCAAAACAGCAGAAAAAGGAAAGGGAGTATGCGAAGCAAGACCACAGCTGTAAAGCTCTCCACCAGTCCATCCTTTTCTGGTCCACATTGCAGTCCACTTCATATTGAGACTGCACCAGCCTTGCCTCCACAGTTTTGGGGCTCTGAGCACTATCCTCCTTCCCATCTTTCCCTGCCACCTGCAGGCTTGTGTGGACCAGTGCCTGGGCTATGAGCATCTGGGTGAGGAAGTCTGGCCATCTTCTTAGAACCCAGAGTGTACTTGTGTTGGAAGCTTCATTCAAAGTAAAATACAACTCGCAAATGTTGCTTAGTACATTGGCAGCGCTTTGTAAGAAGTGAAAGGGAACGCAGGAGGATTCCCTATATGACATTCTGTAAAGAATCTCAGAAAAATTTCTTGATGTCCTCCCTGAACAGAAAAACAGGAGCCCTGATGCTGAGCCTGGTGGACTTTCATGCAGTAACTCTACTTGGCATTTATTGCAAAGTTTCCAAATTTAATCCATTTTCCAGAAAATTTGCATGTATTTTATATTTATACTGACTATAAATAGAACACATTGAAGAAAGTATTATTTCCTGATATACAATGTAAGATTATCTACTTTAGGAAAGATTTCCCTTCTGATTGCAGGTGCTCTGTTCATATATTAATAGGTTCAAAGTGCTGCCGGAAGTTCTCTATGACATCCCCACTCTGGAGACTGTCCTAATCAGTAATAATCAGGTTGGGTCTGTGAACCCTCAGAAGATGAAGATGATGGACAGGCTGACGACTCTGGACCTTCAGAATAACGACCTTCTCCAGGTTCCGCCTGAGCTTGGGAACTGCGTGAGCTTGAGGTAACGGCACCACCCCGAGTCTGTTCCATTTATTGACTCGGTTTGTTGAAGTAGTTTGTTTTTTCATGATTTACTCTTAGAGAAAATTGAAGGAACTTAATGTCCTGTTAAAAGTAACAGTTACTGCAATTCAGAATCCCAATTCTGGTTTTCAGATTTATACTTTCAGCTTTGTTTATATAGTATTCTATATGTATAAATACCCTGCTTATTTTCAATAGTACTTTTCTCATCATTGCTTGTGTTTATCATCTGAAACTACTGCATTAAAAAATATCAGATACAAGCTTTGCAGTAGGGGTTTTGTTTTCTTTTTTAGTGGTACCAGGGATCGAATTCAGGACCTTGTGCTTGCCAGGCAGGCCCTTATGCCACTGAGCCATCTCCCCAGCTCTGCATCTCCCCAGTTTTTGAAATCTGATCACAGACCTGCACCATTGCAAGCCCTGCATGGTCTCTATCTGCCCTTCCCTCGGCATTTACCCTTCTTTCATGAGTAATCAGCACAGTATGTGTTATCCAAGTAGAATTATTAGATTCTACTCTGATTACCCATCATGTTCTTTCTGGACTTTTTATATCGTTTTTTTGGGGGGTACTACTTTATACAAGAGTTGTCCCAAAGTGTAGAGCGCAGTAAGCACTCAGTAGTGCTGCTTAATGGATATAAAGAAGTTTGAGATGTTCATGGAAAGCTAGCTAACTAAGAATTACTGAACACTGATTCACTGTTTGGTGTATTTTCCTTCCCTGGGTTGACGGCATCTGCTTCGCCACTCACAGTGTAGCCGATTCTCACTGTTGGCTGTGGTTATGCCCTAGAAAGTCACTGTGAACCAGATTAACTAATGAGAACAGCTGCTCTGGTGGCCGAGGAGAGGGCGAGGTCTCTGCAAGAATCTGTTCACGTTTCATCAGCCCATCTGCGCATGACTGTTTTGTGTGTGCTTTTGTACTTATTGACACGTAACATTGAGTTCATGGCCAACACCACTGTAACTCACGTGTGAATGTGAAGCTCGTGTAACGCGTCTGTTTTCCATGAGGCACCCATGTGCCTAGAGAAATAGACAACACTCAGCCCTTCACGTGGGCAGCCTAAGCAGTAAGGCACTAACAGAAAAGCGATGCAAAAGTTTGCAAAATGTGCCGTTAAATATACGGTAGAGGAGACATTTGTCAGTGTGTGAGCTGAAACAGAAAAGCAGGTCACCCTGCTGTTGGATGCTGGCAGGGGCCACGCTGGGAAGGGGACGCAGACACTTGCTGCCCTGTGCGTGTCTGGGCACGGCCTCAGAAACGCCTGCATGCTGATTTTGAGGTTTCCAGCAAATTTAACAAGTAGATGGATTTGCAGACATGGAGTCCAGCACTAAGCAAGTTTAAAGTTAGCTCCTTTTTTCTAGAAATTAAGAAAATTTCTGAAAGAATTCCTAAGAAATATTTGAAGATATAATTTAGATCAACTGTGTAATATGGTGTGAGTCCTTTGATGTTTATTTATGTATTAATTATTAAAAAATTATAAAAATTAGTCTTCTAATTTTGCGTGTCTCACTAATTATATAAAAGAACTAAAGGATCAGCCCTGAAGTCTTCAGTTGAATATGTAAATAGAGTATCTGTATATGTGTGTGTACCTGGCTAGGGAGAGGGTGGCCTCACGTTGACACTGTCGAGTACATTACAGTCCGCAGCGTGGAGGCAGGCAGCTTGCTCATGCTGTCCAGCCCTGTTTGCTCACTTAGTATACAGCCAGCCTGAGATTGGGGAGAGGCCGTATAGAATGGTGGTTCAAGCCACAGTTCCGCCAGTTAATGGTGGCTGGATGCTGGTTAAGGCCATCGCACCTCCTTAAGTGTGCAGCTCCCATCATGAATTGGGAACGTTCATGACGCCTGCATCATAGGGTTGTTAGGACAGTTGAGACAGTACAGGTAAGTTAGTGCGGTGCCCTTCAGATCATAATGACTTAATACTGTTTGCGTTACTGTAGTTGCATTGCCAGCTGTTTCAATGCTTAGGTTTTAAAAATCTGTAAATAAAAAACACAGATTTAATTTATAAAATGGCAAAGAACATTTATTTTCATCAAAAAAATCTCAGCAGTGGAAAATTTCTTAAGTTCTCGATTTCTTTTTTGTTTCAGAACACTGCTGCTTGATGGAAACCCCTTCCGTATTCCTCGAGCGGCCATCCTCATGAGAGGAACAGCTGCTGTACTGGAGTACTTGAGAGACCGAATTCCTTCTTAGATGGGTGTATTGTCCAACTTGGGTCGGGTTACTTCGTAGAAGGCTGTTATTTTATTTTAATAGTGATTGCTGTAACTGGTCTCAGAGTTGCCCAGTGTCACTGGCCATTAGTGTAGTTGGCCTGGGCCATGTTCGCTGCCACTAGTTGGTTTTTGTTGGCAGTTGCTAACGTTCTTCTAAGACCTGCTGTGTCTGTACTGTGGGGATACCCACATGGAGTCGTGCAGAGATTGTGCGTGAGAATGTCCTCCCTCGGGCGTCTCCTGCTCGTACTCATTCTGTTGGCATTCCAGACACTTGCTTTAAAAGTGAAATTGGGTTCAATATGATTTTTTGTGTGTGGCCTGCCATCCCCCGCAGGGCATGGCAGGCACGGCGTGTGGTGCTGGGGAATCAAAATGTTGTCCGTGGTCCCTGCGCTTGCCTAAGCTTGCCTGAGCAGTCGCTTTAGACTGCTGAGCTATCTCTCTGGCCCATGATTTAATATTTTATAACACATTTTTTAGAATTGGATTTTTCCCCCTTGTTTTCTTTTTGTATTTCATATAATGTAACCAGTTGTTTTGGATATGGCTCCCCAATTTATACCTTTTGCTAGATGTAAGATAAAAACCAATTTTATTGAATGTTCTTAAACATTTTAAAAAAGTAAAACTTTTGTTACCCATGTTAAGATTTTTATGATGTAGTTAGTCTCAATAGAAGATTTAAATTAACATTACCTTGTTTTTATTTTAATCTAGTTGCTGTGTTTCTTTCCTATTGATGAAATAGATCTTTTCTCTGTTTTAGAAAACCATTTCATAAGGTTTGCTCATTTCACAAAAGTGCTTCTCATGACGCAGAAATTGAAGAAAGGGTGAAAGAATTACTGTGCTTGCTGCCAAAGATGTAGTCGTTAGAGAACAAGTGAGCACATTATTGTGACTGCTGCCACAGAAGCAGTGACACTTTCACTTCTTCCTCAGTAACTACACTAATACTTGACAATTTTTTAAAATGTCTTTGTGATTTCACATGACAGTACAGTCCTTTTGCCTTCATGAGAAGTACAGTGAGTAGATCTGCCTAAAATGCCTTTCGTCCCTTAAGAAAAAAAAATATTGAAGACCTTTCCTTTATGAATTTTGTAGAGGACAGCAACACAGAGCCATCACACGTAACCTTTAGCAACCTTAATGTGTGCGTCTCGTGTATGTCCTTATTGGACAAGTATTGGTATATGTCGTGTGCCTGTGGTTTTGTTTTGATGCAAACTTGTGTATCATTTTTATTTCCAGCACTTTACTTTTAAATTTTGTTTGCAGTTAGGATAAGACTAGCAGCCATCCAGTAATTTTCTAGAAGGGAATTTAACATGGATAAACTTGATTTATTAAAAATAGAATATGAAGGTTTTTTTACACTGAAACAATCAGGAGCAGGTCGGTCTGTCGTCATGGCCCTTACAGGTTTCTCCTACTAAGTACCTAATTCAGTAGCATGCATGTCAGTGGAGAGATGTGACGGACGTAGCTTTTAGGTGACTGAGGCGTGTTGGAATTGTGAAAAAATCACTGCCAATGAAGATAAATACTACATGTTGATAATAAACATTTCTCAGACATCGATCAGTGTTTGTTTTTGTGCTGAAAGAAATACGCTTTTTTTATATTACAACTCTAATAGTAAACAAGACACTTTACAATAAGGTGACGTTTTATTATTTATACAATAAAGAGACTTTTATGTTATTCAAAACACTTTTTTTAAATACTGAAAAAGTTGAGTACACCAAAGCCGAAAATGGCTCTGCCATACCCTGCACAGCGTTGGCTTCGTCCCTGTGTTTCAGATCTGTACAGGAAGCATCTTCAAAATGCACTCGAGTTGCACTGCACACCTTTACCGGTCCGCACTGACCCAGAAAATAAAACTGGCGCGTACAGCCTGCATTTGCAAATTAACTGACAAAGTAATTAATTTCACTGATTCTGTAAATTTAAAATATAGATTCGTAGGACTTCTTTGCACATAAAATGAAGCGGCTTTCAAGGTCGTTATGGTCTCATACTGCAAAAAAACCGTTAAGTACATTCACCATCTATGTTAATAAAGTAGTAAATATGTCTTCATTCAGTTTTATTTACATCAATATGTAGTTCAACTAAAAAGTACTGTTAATCATGGTACAGTAGTCTTTAACACATACAAAAATGACAGTTTTTATATATAATTTTAAGCTCAAAATCACAATTATCTCAAAATATTAATTACAATACAGCCATTTCAATTAAACATGTCATGATTTGATTTTTTTATAAAATGGTAAAACTTTTTTTATTAAAGTAAGCAATTTATTTTGAATTGGCTAGAGTACACCCAAGTAGAAAATCTTAAATGTTAAGAGGTGTTTCCTGCCCCCTCCCGCCCAAATTTGTATACTGCCACCTAGGCTAGCAAAGAGACAGAAAAGGCCCCAATTTATAAAGATTAAGCCTCTTGCTATGCTGCTGTGGCTTGTTGTTTCTTCCATAAAAGCTTTACAAGGGGAGTATCAGTAAACTATGCCATGGAATGCATGCATTAATATACAGTATGTCTGTAAAATGTCAGTGTCTACTAATGCACATTAAAATGTTCACAAAGACGCAAAAGAAGTCGTAAAGAAGCACTTTTTCTGCCAATCGAATAGTATAAATTTGAAAAGTACTTGATAGCTGAATGGAATTTCTTTGCAATCAGATGCCCAATTCCAGTCCTTTCTCTGACTAAAGCTCTGGTTCCTTGGCCTTAACATGTCACCGTGGCGCTGCACATATGGTAGTGAAGTGAAATGCGAAACAGTGTGGCTAGAGACCGTCTTTGTTTTACTAAAATATGACTCAAAAGTTGCATCACTGCTCAGGAGTTTTTCTTAAGCTTACAGGAGAGTGAAATATTTCACTGACTGAGCTCTATGATCTCAAATGGAAAATCTGTTTGGCATATAAAAACAACTTATATGGGTGAGATTAGAACTTAATTTTATAGAATGCTCCAAAAGAGCCGAAGTCAAAAGTAATCAATAACTAGATAATGAAAAAAGTAACTTTATAGGCTTAAAATGTAAAAGCATTATGTAGCATCCTTTCACTTTAAATTCTTAAAAAACTATCATTGTCTTCTTTACAATCACTTCTGTTTAATATTTCTTCTCTAAGTAGAATAAGACTAGTTCATCTTACGATTTATTTATACGCATCTGGGTAGGGAGTAAAGTTAAGTGGATTGCAAAGTGGGGAAAATAAAAGTCCAAAACTGGTCCTCGCGATAAGCTACAGTCGTTTACAATAACCTTACTTGTACAAGGTCATTTATAATGGTCTTTGAAATTCACAAACCAGTAGGTTTACCTCTGATTTTCCACTACTCGGGAAAACTCCCTTCTCCATTTGTAGGTAATGTCATCCTCCTTAAGGCTGCGTTTGTCCTTTCTGTGCATGAGCACACCAAGAAACCTGATTGGCTCTTCAGATAGAAACTACATAGTTTTATCTATCTCTTATCTTTCTTTTCATTCCAAACAGAAAATAGTAAGGCTTTCATTTTCAAGGTGAGAGATGCAGTTAAAGGGAAATGCCTAGCTGTCAAAGAGCAGAAGTATTAAACATTGTGTTCCACTGACACTAGGTGTCATCAAAGCTAAAAAGATTTATGAAAAGCAAAACCTAACATATGCCTGTTCTTTCTGACCTGAATCAGATGCCTTTCCCACATTTCAAGGCCAGCAAGAGTCCTCTGAGTAGAAAGACTACAAATACTGAAAACAAATACATTTCAACAATACATTCTGAAAAGAAATTACTTTTCTAGCCAGTATGAGAACTGCCTTAAACTCCATCTGCTTAGGAGTTCATCTTGGTTTTCCTATGGAGGCCTGAAAGGCAAGGAAAGATAGAAGGAAATACAATGTGATTTATTTAGTCCATTTGTCAAATGCTTTCCGTAATTGAGCTATAATAAATAGGTCAGCTGATCTGCACACAGGGGCATTGCTTAGCCTCATTTACTTTAGCTGTGCAAAGACAAAGAAAAACCCTCCTACGTATGTGTGTCTACACGTAGACACAGAACCTGAGTCACAATAAAAGTTTGTAATATAAGAAAACTCTTAATGTAGGAAAATAACCTTTAAAGAGCCAAAAAATACCTTTGTACAATATAAGCAGCTAACTTTAAAACTTCAGTGTGCCTAAGTATCAGCAAAAACGGGAAAATTTACATTTGATAATTTTTCTCAACTATAGCTGAGATAACCACATTTTATATCTAACATCTATATTCATTCCCCTGAATTCAATTTTTCTAAAAACAAAAACCATAGAAAGGAAACTATACACACATTCAAATAAGTCCTGTTTAATTTCTGCCGAACAGTTCCTGGTATTTTTTTCTGAATATTGAGGACGTAAGAGTTTGGGGTTGCTAGTGCCAACCTACATTGGAGCTTTAAAGTTTAAAACAAGCCACATAATCAGTTATTAAGAGAAATACTATCTGTGAAAACACTTTGCAGGCCAAGTCAGGCCAGTGTGCCTGAAACGAGTTTTCGTTCTTGGGCTCCTAATCTTCAGACTAACTCTTCAAAACCCCTTCTTTCTGTACACTGCAGTTCCGTAGCTTTTAGGAGGTCTTTCTTTTTTCATTGTTAAACACTCAGTTTCTGCAGCTGCAGTGCCTGAGCTCGTGCAGCCGCTGGCTATAGGGTCCTCTTTCCTTACCTACACCTTTGTTGTTAGTTTCTCTTCTTTGAGAGCTCAGTACTCAGGAACCATTCCTTAGCTTCCCTTCCTGTGTCATCACCTCATTAGGAGAAAAGCTGCTTCAGTCTCCTCACTGTCTTGTCACTAGACACCAATTTAAGGCTCAGTTTAGGACCTATTTATTCCCTGGGCTACCTTTCGGATGCATGCTGATGGTACCTCAGAGAAAAGTGAGGAAAGGTGGCGTCCCTGCTGCCCCTAGTGGATTCCATTAGTTACACATTTCTGTCAGTCACTCACTGTCACCCTGGATGGAGGAAGCCATCTAGTCCCCAAGGCTCATCTTGGCCAGGAGGGCTCTGAATACTTGCTTGCATCAGTAGTCGAAGGGCTCTAGGCAGTAGCCCAGGGTGCTGCCTGTCCTCCGGGCCAGCCCAGCTTGGGGACAGGATGTGAAATAGATGCCAGAGGCTAAGGGATATTTGGCATTAGCAAGGGAACTGGAATCTTTTCCTGCCTTTTTATGACAGTTGCCTGAGAAGGATTTTTGCATTGTACCGAAGGCTAAAAGCAGAGTCACGCGGTTCTTGGCCAACAGACTTGTTGCCATGGGAACCGGTGCAGAACAATGAAAATACTATGGGTAGAGAATTAAGTGTGGGGAAAAGAACAGCTAGGGAGTTGGTTTATACAGGGCAACTTGGGCATTTGGGATTTAAAGCAAGAGGCTGTTCACGTGGTCAGATCAGTGACACTGGACCAAATGCCTTGTTGGCAGAAGGCCGGGAGAAAGTAGTGTGACGGTTGGGTAAGGGGAAATATCTAAAATCCAGTTCCATCCCTGATAAAGTTAAGCTCTTCAGCCCAGATGTTCAGTCAGCCATAGGACTGCACATGGCCCTTGGGAGGGCGTGTCTACTTGGCTTCATAAGCGAAAGCAGCCTGCTGTAACATTTCAAAGCCAGCATGCATCAGCTGACCAAGTTATTGCACACCTCACCTTTTATTGCTTGAAGCATCTTTCCAAATATTCAAAAAACAATGACAGTAACAAAACCCGCAACGGTCTGCTAATGTACAGCTCCCTCCCCCAACAAGACAAGTTATTGCAAGTAGCTTAGAATTTACTTCTTAAGGAAATGATTATTGCACTCCACTTGATACAAGTCCTCCCTGTACTATAGACTTGATAATAAACTCATGAGAGCAGACTCTAGGATTCCAGGAAAATGTGCAGCCTAATCCGAGAGATTAGTCGCAGCCTAATCTGAGAGAAGCAGACTTGTGTGCTGTACTTTTAGAATCTCCATGGGAACTGCACCTGGGTTGTCCTCCAACTTCCCAAAAGATTATTCCCTGAAATACTGTAATTAGTGCCTTATTCCTGTGGCTACAGCCTGGGCCCAGATTGAAAGGCAATTAAGCATGAGAGTTGGGAAAGGTCACACTGCTGATGACTCCACCCTTCCCAGAGAGCCAAGTTCCACACAGTAACAAGACCCTTCTTCACCTTAACTCTGCCTTTTCCCCTCAAACATGTAAAGGGAAGAAACTGAAAACAACGTCCACCTGGACAAGAGGGAGGGATGCAGGCAGGAAGCAAGATGCTCTTTGTGTAGTAAGTACATGGAACATAGATTTCACTAGAAACACTTCCTTACTAACACTTCCTCTAATGACCTCCTGACCTAGAAGAGCTCCTTCTGAAGCTTTTCCCAGTCTTCAAACCCATTTTTTTTTTTAAATCATCCTCCAGGGGCACATTCAGAATTCTGAAATCCAGTAAAATGCCTGTATTTTTCTCTCACTTGTGACTTAGAATACACACTGCATAATACAGCACCTGACACACAGGTGTGAGACAGTGGTCTCGCTGATGTTGGCCAATTTCTCTGTCAACATTCTAGTGAATTGCACAAGTGAGGACTTTCATGCTTGGTTTTGGCACGTGGGACTCCTATGCAGCTCCCTGTGCCTTTGCCAAGAACAGAGAAGCAGATTGCTTTTGGAGACAGGCAGATAAAACAATGTTATCACACAGTGCTATCCTCACAAGCAGCTGTGCCTTTCAATTTGTCAAGATAAAGAGGAGACACTGCATTTCATTTCTGTATAGTCTAAAATTTGCTGATGCCTGGAGAGGGACTAGGCAGTCCATAACTAAAGGCTTAGCTTTCGCTGTGATGGTCCCGCTGTCACTGTAGATCAGACCTTGGGCAACCCTGAGCTCCTCCAGGAGAGGGGGACTGCCTGACTTCTGACCATATTCACTAATTTTTACTGTATTTGTTCACTCAGACATTTAAACCTGAGCAGCAAATCTCCTAA